AAAAAAGCACAGAAACACAGGTCAAACGTTTGCCGGAGCAACAAAAAACTGTTTTTCTTTTGTTTTTCGCACCACGTTTCCTTATTCAGTGTTCTTTTCTTTTTCTTTTTAACCGTTATCCTCATTTTCTTTGCCTCTTTTCTGTCTTTAATAATAAAAAACAGTGATCTTAAAAAAAAACTCGGAGATTAAAAGCAAATCAACAGAAAAAAAACACATTTTGAGATGTGCTGGACATTTAAAACTCCTTTCATTTACAATAAAACCCCAACACATCCACCTTTTGGCTCAGTTCAGATGAACGTTTTTACAGCAGATTTACGCGCTTCGTCTTCTTTTACGGCCCGAAAAAACTAAAACAATCAAGATGAAAACGTCAAACTTGTCAAACCGGGAGAGTCTGCGTCGGGCATTTGGAGAATCCCCTACATAAAACACAGATGTCCGACGCTTTGATACGACGGGCCTGTTATGATAGGGTCCCCACCCCAATAGTGATGGACGGACGGGTGGATGGCGGGATGTGAGAGAAAATGTTATGAATGCCACAGTGTCTCTGCTCAAAAAACGCCCCGAGAAGTTGTTCAAGCATTTGAAAACAGCAGTGGGGGTTAAATTAGATTCTCCCACTTTTATTACATTATGGAATTGAATTTACCTTTTTTTGTGAATGCAATATCTTTGGTAACAAAACCTCACTTCCTGGAAGATGTCTATCTGTCTTTGTATAGAACAGGCCGGAGTGTTTGTGGGGTTAAAAAGAGGGGGACCTGGACCTCCATGGGTGGGGTGTGAGGGGTTTACCTGTGCAGAGGAAAAAAAAGGTGTAAATTGTGTTAATGCGCAGTAATGCATCAGAGTGGGGATCTGACCGGAGGGGGTGGCCGGATCGGTGTCGGTGGACGTTTTGGGCTGAGTGGAAAACCTCTTCCACATGCTGGCGGAGGCTCTGGCCCCGGGGCGGCACACACCCCCGAAACATGTGTGTTGAATTGTCAAGGTGTTATCGTGGCCCCGGAGAGGCTCCCTCCACCTCTGGGTCCGACATCAGACCAAATACGACACAATCCACACACAAACTCAACTGACGTCCACAAAATGATGCTGAACAGTAAGAAAAGTGCAGACCAAAATTAAATATGTATTCCAGCAATGTTTAAAGGAAGAGGAAAACAAAAAGGAGATGCAGACAGAGGAAGTAATCGTGATTAAGTTGTGAACATTTTGATTCAATACACTAGAATACCCTCAATTAATTTAAGGGAAGAAAAACAGAAAAATCTGTTTTTATTTTTTTTAAATGGTGGATACCAAAGTAAGAATGTTTAAATTTAATAGAGCTTATTTGAATTGCATTTATTTGTATGACATGGATTTCTTTCTTTCTTTTTTATGAGTGTTTGAGTCTATTGAGGCCTTTCTGGGGAAAAGGTTCTGTAAAGTCCACAAAGTTTAAAACGTATTGGTTAATCTTTTTGAAATGCTTGTTCTGTAACTTCTGTTAATACCTTTCAAGACATACTGTGAGTTATTTCATTTGCACAGATGAGTAATTCAATGTAAAACAACAATGAAATAAAATGTACGAAAAAAATGTAAATTATGCTTTAAAAAAAAACCCTATTAAGCCTTACCCAAGTTAGATAATAATATATAAAATAAAACCTTTTTTTTTTTAATCTGAAGCCTTTGTTTGGCTATTTATCAAAATGTAGGAAAAAAACTGATAAATAGAATTTACACATTAAAAAAAAAAAGAAAATCCATATTCTCTGCATACTAAAATGTAAAGAAGAGAAAATACTACATGTAAAACTTTTTTCTTTTTAGAGATTTCTTAGAATTTATGATGGTGCAATCAGACTGTGAATGAAATGAATTAATTATGATGCGTCTGACACTGAAGGCTCAGATTTATGTTTAAGAGCTGGAAAATGATCCCAATTTCACGCTTTTTGAAAAAGGGCCTTGTTTGTGGTTTCTTCATTTCTTGTTTGATGCATTCGGTTGCAGAACGACAGCATCTTTGTACCTCGATGGAAACATCAAATGCAGAACCCTCGAAAAAAAGCGGAGAAGCGAACAGATCAGTGGCTGTAAATGTCATGTCGAGGATGAGAGATGGACGTCCGGGGTATTTGAAGTCGGAGAGAGATGGGAGCGTATTTTACAAGCTGCACTCACGTCATTTCAGACTTCTGTGATTCAATCCATGCTCACATCCACCAGAGCTGCGTGAAAGTGTTATTTCTGCTCGCTTTCTCCTCCTAAATGGAACCGGGAGTACGCCGTGATTTGTGTGAAGGATTCATTTTTCCCTGAAGTGTGCTTAAAGCTGTGAAAACTCGACTGTGAACTCTTCTGTGGGCGCCTTTAAAAGATTAACTTTCACTTTGGGTTTTTTTTTTTTGCACGCTGCACACGAACGCCGTTTCCTCCCCTCCGTTTTTTTCTGATTGTAGTCTGTTTCGGTGTGACTTTCTTGTGGGTTTTTCTCTTTGTTTTTCCTTCGCAGAGATTGTTTGCAGTTCTGTCTGATTAGGTTATGTAAAACGAACCTGATGGCTTCGAACGCAAACACACACTTCGTGCACAAGTCAGTGGTTTCCAGCGAAAGGTTAGTTGGACATGACATGGAATGGGAAGAAAAACAGCTTTGTTGAAAGCCAAGATTAGGAGTATTGTGATGAGAGGAGAGATCTTTCTTTCTTAATTTTCATTTGATAACCCAAAACACTTTATTGGCCATTAAAATGCATCACATATTTGTCCAAAAATGATCTCCTCATCTCTTCTAACCTCCTGTTTATAAGAGTATTAGATGAACCACTCTTTACCGTAGTAGTTTTTCTCCAAAAACACTCAAACTACTGAAAACAAAGTGACTTCATTACAAAACCGAGATTTAATTTAGCATTTTATTGGGAAATAGTTACGAATAATCTGAATGAGTTGCAAATTGTGAATAAATTCATTCAGCCCTCAACCATGAAGACTACTACCAGGCCTTTGAATCATTTAATTGAGAATCACAGAGATACATTTTACGACATTCTGCATGTAAAAACGAGGTTTTAAGTTAAATTTAATGCAAAAAGTGACGTCATCTTTGACGATTGTGTGTTTTCTTCACAGCAAAGAACAATGCATTCAGATGTTTTTCACTATAAGAGTACATTTTGAGGGATGTCCATCAACATGGTTTGGAAAATCATGTCCATTCAGCAGCATTTACATACAGAATGAAGAGATTGTGTCCATGCAGATGTGAAAACCGTGACAAGTTTCTGACTCACGGTGTCTGGTCGTTTGACCTTACAAGATAAAATATTGTTCCACCGTAAAAAAAGAACCCATTTAAGTTTGATGTGCAAAAACTGAATTTAGTCATGGTGCTAAACAATAAGAAGCCACTCGCCGGGGGGTCAATACTTTGAAAATAGACAAAAAGACATATAAGGACCACATAAAATGAATGATGTGCGGCCATTATTCTTCATGATGTTCAGAAAAAGATATTCTGGGATGACGCTTTCTCAAAAGCTTGAATTGGATGCTCCTGTGCTCTCCATCTCGCCCTCATCATCTTTTTTCCTCTCTTTTCTCGTGTTTCCCGCTCATCATCGGCAGACTTTTCATGTGCCTCGGGGCTCATTTGGAAAGCTTCACGTCCAATCAGCTCCGGCTGAAACGGGAATCCTCTGTGACATTCTCCGTAATCAGCCTCCCCCCTCCGAAAAAAAAAACCTCCTCGCAATTTCTTACAACTTATGCAAATGGGTGCGCAATAAACCCGCCCAATTAGACTCAACCCAACTCCGTCCAGTGGAGGGTAGGGAGAGGACACAGTGTGGAACAAACTGATGTCGGGAGAGGCTGCCCGCGTTGCCAAAAAAATTCAAATGGCATGTTCTGGTCCACATCTGCTTTTTAGAGCGGTCTCTGATGTCCACCTCTGGAATTGGCTGATTGCTGGACGTGGTGGAACAGAGACGAGCATGTATACGCTCATTTTGCGGTTGGACACATCATGCATGCGCCCAAAACCCCCCGCCTCAACACACCTGATTTACATCGAATGGATCTCTTTAAAAGATCGCCGAGGTCTTCGCAAAGTCTGCCAACGATGCAAGGTTTCTGAATTCCCCCTGGAGGGAAAGGTCTAAAACGAAAGCTGGAGCTCCATACCTGCGCCTCGGGTCGTTTTGGCCGAGATCCACTCGGTTATTTTTTGCAATCCCGGGTCGAAACTAGGGGAACCGCGCATCGTCCAGGAGCTGCTGAGTTGTTGGAGCACTGGTTTTGGTTGCGCGCTTTAAATCAGAGGCTCAAAGGTGACAGGAAGTGACATGAATCAAATGATGTAAAAGGAAATCTGGACCTGTCATGCTTTGAGAAACAGGGTTTCAGAGAAATAATAAAGATGTACCACAGCTTTACAAAAAAAAACTAAACAAAAAAACAACTAAATGTCAAATCTGGAGATGGATTTCTTCATGGTATAAGTATAAAATACCACTGAACCTTTTCCCCTTCAAGTCACTTGAGGTAAAATCATGCACAAAATGCACAAACGTAATTTTTCTTAAGGAAACCACAATAATTGCCTCTGATCTCTTTTCCCAAAGCATATTTCAGTTCTGGTGAAGCACTTTGGCAGCTATGTGTGTAATCAAAATAATCAAATGGTCTCGAAGAATAACTGATGCAAATTATTGTTGGTTTTCTGTATTTTAAGCGCTATATTTGAACATATTTGCCCCTCGGCAGCTGTTTCGGTTCCAGCAGAATCCTCAGGCCTTTCCTCCAGTCTAAATTAATAAAACAAAAAAAGGTTATTTACCATCCGC